TCCCTGCTGTTGTCCAAGCCCAGGGACACTTCACGAGTGGCCTGGGAGCAGTGACCACTGTCAAGCTAGTTGAGGCAGCCGACCCAGGTGGCTCAGACAGACCCAACATGTCTGCACTTGTCCCAGCTGATGCCAAGTCTGTCCTTCCTGAGATTGTTCCCAGCAGGCCAGACCACAGGCCGGAGCAGAGTCATTGTCCCACCCTTGGGAACTCCACTGCAACCCAGACAAGCCACTTGCCCTCCCAGCCCAGCCCATTTCCTGATGCTCCCCGGCCTGTGTTCTCCCCAGTCCACTCACCCCTAGAGATGCTTCCAGGGTAAGCGAGCCAGCCGGGAGCTAGAACACAGGCTCTGTGAACAGCAGGTCCGCCCACATTCTTTGGTCCCACCTCTGCCTCCTTTCACTCATCCCAGCTGCAGACCCTCTTTCAGCCCCCTAGACCACCCTGCCCCCAGTTCTTCACCATCAGAAGCATTCTGTTAGCTCCCCTTATTTCCTTTTATGCCGAGATCTAAGGTGCTTTGTAAGAGCCATGAGTCCCTTTTCTGGTCTCCGGGGTGACCACTCTTAACAGTCCTTTAATGAGTGGGGAAACTGAGGCTCAGGAGAGCGCGCGGGCCCTGGTGCAGTGCCGGGTTTCTCTCATGATGCACACGCCACACGGAGACTTTGGAGCGTAGATGGCCTTGTACCTAAAGTTGACCCCCCCCCCACCAGCCTTTGTGGCCTTCATAGAATTTGTCTCGGAGTGGAGGGAGAGGTACAGGGGGGCAGGCTTTGGTGACCTCTGCCCACTGCCCTCCGGTCAACCACATCCTGAGTTGTACCAGGGTGCTGATGTCCACCAGCTGTGGGTACCCCTCACCTCCCCGGGTGCCCCAAACAAGGATGGGCTCCATGGTCCCCGGGCTTGGCTCCTCCACAGTCCAGGGCAGGGGTCTAAAAGAAAGCTGCAACAAGGAAATGCCCCTACCACCTGCAGCCTGGGCACCCTGACCCCAAAAGGCCCCACCCTTGGCACCCACAGCCGGTACAGGAGGAAGTGGGAGGGTACTAGTAGAACTGGTTTGGGCCCCAGGGCTCCCAGGGAGGGTGGGGTTGGCGGCTGGACTGGGCCTGAGTCACAATGATAGGGCCGGGCTGGGGGTGGGGGCTCTGTGGCTCACAACCTGGGACAGGGCTATAGTGAGGAGAGGATACAGCTACCCAGGTTTCCACCATGACTCCCCCCTCACACACACACGTGGGTCCCTGTGGGGGTCCCCAGCCTTCCAAAGGCAGACACTGTCATCATCCTTAGCCTCATATGAAAGGGCGCCCGAGACCCACCCTCCACGGTGTGCCAGCCTCTAGCCGATGCCCCTGCCCCAAGGGGTTCCCGTTCTGGATGTAGATGGATGGTCCCCAAACAGCAGTGCTGGCCAGGGGGCAAATGGATGAAGGGGAGTGGGGTGCCCGTAGGTGGGGTTTGGGGGAAAGGCACGAGCAGGAAGTTGGGGAGTTGTCCATGGAGGGAAGACAGGAAGTCACAATGTCAGGCTGAGCGGTGGTGGCCAGGAGGCCCATGGTCAGGGTGTCCTGGCTTAGAGGGCATGAGGCGGGCATCGGAGGGGAGGTGGACATCCAGGGGGGCTTTGGGGAGGTCCCCTTACAAGCCATCTCAGGTGAAGGATGGGGCTGTCTGCTCCCCTAAACCCTAAGGAACAATTCTCCTCTCTCCTACAAGTTTGCTATGAGCTGGAATTGACTTGAGATGCAGTGGGATTGGGTATGGGGGTTTTGCAGGCTATGGGGGGCCTCTAGGGCCCGGGCAGTCAGAGGGTGGGGTTGAATCAGAAGTGACCCCAGAGTATTTCCGTTTTCACACACGAAGCAGGGCAGGTCCCATCGGTCTGGGGTTACTCAGCACTCTCCCACCTTATCTGGATCCTGGGGCCTCAGAAGACAGTCGGGGGCCGGGGACCTGCTGTGTATCTGGGCCCTTTGGACTGGGTGGGGCTGTCAGGAGCCCTTTCCCTGCTGATGGAAATTCCAGGTGACATAGCAGGTTAATGAGCAGGTGGTGGGGCGGGCTGGGACCTAGTGACTCAGCCTCGTGGGAGACACAGGGCCCTGGATGAGAGTTCCTCAGTGTTGGCCGAGCTGAGAAACAAGTGGTCACCAGTGGCAGGGGTGGGGTGGGCAGAGAGCACATTCTGAGAAGCATTAGGTCCAACAGAGCCTGGAGCATTTTTCTGTGGCCCTGGAAGCCAGAAAGGGGGTTTGGTGGCACAGTGGGCCAAGCATTGATGGCTAACCTCAAGGTTTGCAATTCAAACCTACCAGCCGCCTGTGTGAGGAAGACGAGGCCGTCGGCTTCCGTAAAGATTCCGTCTCAGAAACCCTAAGGAACTGTTGTACTCTGTCTTATGGGGGGTCTCTATGAGTTGGATTTGACTTGATGGCAGGGAGGTATTTTGAAGGGAATCCAGAAGCAAGTTTGAATCAGGAGAGGTCCCCAATTTCCAGTTTAGACGTAGCTGAGGGTGAGTGAGTTGTTTTCTGTATCCCCGGGATGGACAGTCCAGGGCAGCCTGTGGCCAGGCCAGAGGAGGCAGCTCCCAGTAGCAGGCATGGGGAACCACGACTCATTCCCTGATGGCTGGATGGTCTGGGCCATATACCGTCACCTCTTGAAACAGGTGGAAGCGGAAGTCTGGTCCATGAGGAATTGCCACTTTAGAGCTGGCAGGAAACACGCACAGAGTCCAGGGCCCGGGATGGTCAGACTGCCTGTCCTCCAGAGGACGTGGGGACCCTAGCCTTGAGACAAGAATGAGCTGCTTCCAATGTGGGATGGCTCGGGGTGCACACAGGCCCCTGACTAACACAGCCTCAGGGTGTAGAGACAGAGGAAGTGAGTCACCCAGCATCTTAGCCACAGGGAGAGGGGCAGGAAGATCCATCTGCCCAGCCGTAGTAAAAATAAAGCGGGTATGTGCCGTGGAGTCGACCCTGCATAGGGTTTCCAAGGCTGTCAATCTTTACCGGAGCAGAAAGCCTCATCTTTCTCCCACGGAATGGCTGGTAGTTTTGAACTGCTGACCTTGAGGTTAGCAGCCTGATTCGTAACCACTACACTAGGGGGCAGAGACTAATCGAATGGGCTTCTGCCATCCTTGCTTTGTCTCGACATTTGTCTCGTTTTGCCTTTTTATTGTGGTAAACATAAAAGTAACTAAACCTTTACCATTTTCACGCTCAGGAATCATTTTCATGCTGTTATTTCGCCGTCACCCTTAACAGAAGCACAGTGTCCTCCCAAAGTGGGGTCCCTTCCAGTTGATTCTGATCATGGTGACCCCATGTGACAGTAGAACCCCTCCCTGGGTTTCCTCGGCTGCTCTCTTTACTGGAAGAAGCCCTAGTACTACAGTGGGCTGAACCGCTAACCAAAGGCCTGTGGTTTAAACCCACCCACCGCTCCGAGGAAGAAAGATGTGGCAGTCTGCTTCTGTTGAGATTTACCACCTCAAAAAGCCTGATGGAATAATTCCACTCTATCCTATAGGGTCGCTGTGATTCGGAATCGATTGGCCGGCAGAGTTTATTTGTGGGTTTTTTTGTTTTTTATCTTTCTTCCTCAGTGCCACTGGTGGGTTCAAACTGAAGACCTTTTGGCTAGCAGCTAAGCACTTAATCACTGCATCACTAGTGTTCCTGTTCCCCGAAGATCGCTCTGGGATTAAAAGCATTGGAGCCCACGAGAGCCCCATCCAACATCCCAGTCACAGAAGGAGTCTGGAGGGGGCTGCCTGGGAAGTGGGGCGTTCTCCCCAGTGTTTGGGGGTGTGAGAGCTGGGGAACAGGGAGGGAACTTCCATTGCGACCCTCCATCGTCCTCACACCGAGGTTCTGCTGGACCAGAGGGCAGGGGTGGCTTCCGGTCGCCTGTCACCCTGTGGTGACAGACGACATCCTGCCTGCCGCCTGCCCCTCATGTCACCAACCTCCCAAAATAGCCCTCTAAGTGGCTGCCTTGCTCCAGGCCGTTCCAGGGCATAGAACAGAGATCACGGCATTGTCCCCAGCTGGCTGACCAGGGCAGTGACGAGTGTGCCTCTGGAGACTATGGTCCAGAAGAATGGGCCTTTCTCTGCGAGGTGGCTCTCCTGACGTCACCATTAGCTCTGCATCCAGAGGTGGGGTGTGGGGCCTGAGCCCAGCCTCGTCCCTCCCTGGGGGTCAGGCAGAAGCCTCCCTCAGGCCCCAGCAGCCCCCTGAATGCCCCACCGCTCCTGCTGATGAATGGGAAGGCACACTTGGAGCCAGAGAATCCAAATACTCAGAGCGGAGGACAGAGGGCAAAGGGGAAGGCTCGGGGCACATGCCAACTCCACCCGAGACAGACCGGATGGCCGAGGGCAGGAAGACCACCCCACCCTCTACCTGGGCTTGGATCCCAGGGGCTTCCCTAAGACTTGCTGTTGTAATGACATGGTGTGTGTGTCTACATGTGTGTACATGTGTGCCCATGGTACATGTGTGTATGTGTATTGGGTGTGGGAGGGTATTGGATTACTCACCTGTAAAATGCATGTGTGTACACGTGTGTGTACTTGCCTGTATGTGTATTGAGTGTGGGAAAGCCTCAGTTTTCTCGTCTGTAAAATGTATGTGTGTACATGTTATTATATTGCGTGTGTGCACATGTGTACCTGTGTATAAGCATATGTGTATTGGCTATGGCAGGGCCAGTTTCCTCATCTGTAAAATGGCCCTCCTGACAACCTCTCTTGGAGGCCCTGGGGCTGTGGCCACAGTGTGAGGGTCAGGGGTGTCCTTCAATCATATGACAAGTATTTGTGCCCTGAGGGGCCAGGCTTGCCCCTGCCCTGGCCATGGGGACATGGGAGTTGGATTGAGCCCGAGGCCTAAAGGTGATTAGGACTGTGGGTGGTGGGGGTAAGGGTAGATCTCATGCCCTCCAGCCTTGCTGACCACACTGCCACCCCCAGGATCCAGTGCCCTGCCCTTGTGGCGCTTGTGGCCAACCTCCTTGGCACCGTCTTGAGCTTCATCGGCATTCCAGCCAACACCAAAGGGCCCACTGCCACCTCAACAGGTAAAACCCCCTGAAGGCTCTACCTGTGTGCCCACGAGCCCCTCCTCTTCCTGACAGCACCGTGGCATCTCTGGCAAGGCTCCAGGCCAGGGGCACCCAGTTTCATTCCTGAGCCCCTCCAGCATGCAGAGCTGGGTTCAGGGACGTGGTCTTTGTCTTCAAGGTCATGGGAAGGGGTTGGAGAGGCTGGAATCACAGCAGAGGCAGCATTAGGAGGGGAGGACCAAATCAGGGTACAAGGTGCTGCTAAAGAAGTACTGAGCAGGTTGGGGGCTGTGGTAGAAATGCCACAGACTGACAGACTGAAACACAGAGAGGGCAGCAGGGCCAAGCCCCCTCCAAAGGCTCTAAGGCAAGACCCTCCTCAGCTCTTCCAGTCTCTGGGGACCGAAGGTGGCTGCATCGGGGCAGAAACACAGCTCTAACTCAGAGAGCCGGGTGGGGAGAAGCTAGAGGGAAGCAGGTGGTCTGACTGTCTCTCGATGCTCCAGGTGGGCCCAAGGCTGGCGTGTTTGACCTGAAGGCTATTTCCCGCCTTCTGCTGCTACCTGGCATCCTGCCTGTCTTCCTCATCAAGGTAGTCTCCGGCTTCCCCTCAGGTAAGTGCAGCTAAGAGTTCCAGGCCTTGGGGATGGGGCGGGGTTGGGGTTGTGTCCACCCCTGCTCTCTCTTCACAGCTCACCTGAGCCACAGGAGAAGAGGGAGACCATGTCCACCTCCGTCCCTACCAGCCTCTCCAGACCATGCCCTGAGGACCCTAGGAAGTGGTCACTGAGGGTCTAAAGTCCGGGGGAGGCTGTAACAAAGCACCATCAGCCACCCAGGGCCTTGTAAGAAGAGCTGAGGGCTGAGGTCAGGGCACCCACAGGGCCACGGTCTCCCTGAAGGCTTATGGGAAGGAGCCTTCCCTTCTCTAGAGCTTCTGGGAAACCCAGGCATCCATTGGCTTGTGTCTCAATTGCTCCACTCTCAGGCTCCATCTTTGTAGGCTGTGTTCCCTCTGTCTTTCCGTGTCTCCTCCCGCCCCACCCCCACCCCACCATGGCTGTCCTTTAAAAACGACACCACTCAGATGGGATTAGGATCCAACCTGTTCCCATGCGACCTTATGTGAATGGAGCTAATTACATCTGTTGTTTTGTTGTTGTGTGCCGTGGAGTCAGTTCCAACTCAGAGCGACCCTGTGTAGGGTTTCCAAGGAGTAGCTGGTGGGTTTGAACCACCAACCTTGTGGTTAGTCGTCCAGTGCTGATCCTACAGTGCCACACCAGGAGTCCAGTTATACCTACAAAGTGGACCCAACCTCCACACAGGGCTGCATTGACAGGTGCCAGGGTTTTAGCCTATCCTTTATGTGGGAATGGGGATGGGGGGGCGGTGTAAGACATGGAGACCACGTCTGACTTTCCGTAGCTCCACAGGGGAAAGATGAATCAAACTCAAAATCAGCCCAAGGCCGATTCCTGTGAGTTGGAGATCAGGCGAGCCTCCACCCTCCAACCTTCTTCACCCTATTCTGACACCAAGCATCCCTCCCACAGCCCTCTCGGCTTCACCTCTGGGTGCCAATAATCCATTGCAATGACGTATTATAATAACAACAGCTCATAACAACATTCACAATTGTGAAATTTGTTAGGAAAGTGAACAGGGGACAATTCAGGATCGATACCAGCTCAGGACAGCAGGTCTCCGGTCAGGAACGCCTCCTGTCTGCCAGCCTGCAGGCTCTCCTCACTCCTGTCTTCAGCCTGTCAGCCGTGTGGTCCCTGGGCCTCTGGCCTGCTGCGCATAGCAAGCGTTACCAAGCTCCCTTAGCCACTCTGTGAATGCCCAGAGGCCATACTCTGCAGGTCAGCCTTTCTCAGTGCGTGCACCTAGACCCACAGCTGCTCTGTCTCTCCCTGCCACCACCTCTGTCACCACCTCTGCTATAGCTGCTTTTCCAGGTAGGGATCTCATGCTCCACTCCTGCTCTTCCTACCTGATGCTCCTGGGGTTGTCTGTTCCTGATTTTGTGATGCCTCCTTTTAAACCTAGTGGGAGGACAAAACTAACCAATCCCGGCCTTAGAGTCCTGTACACCTTATTTGCATGCTGTTGTTGTTAAGCGCCATCAAGTAGATTCCAGTCGATTCCGACTCATAGTGACCCTGTAGAGGGTTTTCAAGGAGCAGCTAGTGGGTTTGAACCACCAACTTTGCGGTTCAAGCTGAACTTGCAGTCCAGTGCTTTATCCTACAGCACCCCACCAGGACTCCCATATACATGATCCCACCCAAATCACTTGGTGGGAATTAAGAAGACATTGGCTAGAAAAGCCGGAAGGCGCTCTGGTAGAATAGTGGTTATGAACCGGGCTGCGAACCTCAAAGTCAGCAGTTCGAAACTACCAGCTCTTCCATGGGAGAAAGATGAGGCTTTCTGCTCCTGTAAAGATTTACAGCCACAGAAACCCTGTATAGGGTTGCTGTGAGTCGGAACCGACTCCACAGCACATAACCACCACCAGAAAAGCCATATCAAGTAAACTCACGGTACCACAGGGGCCCGGGGACTGAGTTCTGTCCACACCACTGGGTCCCAGCCACAGAGCTTCCTTGCAGCCTCTCCCGCTGTCCCTGTCCTGCCTCTGAACTCCGGGCCTTCTCTGTGGAGAAGAAGGTCATCTGAAAGTAAATAAATGCAGGCTTTCTGAAGATGTGCTGGCCCTGGTCATCATGACAGATAGCCCCCAGCCCCTCATTCATCCTGAGGGCGTCCCTGACCACAGTACAACCAAAGATGTGTGCACTTTGTCTCTCAGAAACCCAAGGGACAGGGGGGAGAACAGATGAGCAAATCTACCCTCAACGTCCATATCTAACTGCTTGTGCTAAGGGACTGATCCCCTTGAAGCAGAAAGCTTCCAGGTCATGGAGAGGGATCAGCCCTGGGCTCTGAGTGCTTCATCCAGATAGTTGTCTGCTTAGCAACCCCTAGCTGGGCTGGGGAGGGTACTTCCTGTGCAGACTCTCTTCAGAGAAGACTTGTAGCTGAACTGGTTACCATGGGGTTTCCTTGAACAGTTGCTGGGGTGTGGCCCCGTGGTGGGCACGGGCCAGGTGGGTGGGCACACCCTGACTGTCCTCCACCCTCCAGGACTCTTCATGGTCATGTTTTCCATCATTTCCATGGACTTCTTCCAGCTGGAGGCTGCCCAGTCTGGCTACCTTATCTCCTACTTTGGGGTTCTTCAGATGGTGAGTGGGGTCAGCATGCTGTCTGGGTGGGGTGGGGCATGGGTCTCTCCTGTTGTTTCTGTCCTGCCCAGTGGGGCTGCCCTCCACGTCAGTGGTTCAGGACCATCTATAAGCCGTGCTGCCTCTTGGCTCTTGTCCCTGGCTCCGTGTCTCTGCTCCTCTGTGAGTCTGTACCCAGGCCACAGCCCAGCTCCACACCCTGACCAACAGCCACTGGGCCCGTGTTAGCTGATTGGTCTCTGTGAGCCCCCGGGGCTACCCTAGCGGACCCCTCGTGCTGGGGACTGTAGATAATATTTTCTTGGCTCTGGAGGTTGGAAGATTCTGTTGGAGGATTCTTCCTTGTCTCTTCTGAAGGCCTTGGTGGCCCTCTGATCCGATTCCCGTGTCCCACCAACCCTGTGTGTCTGTCTTACATCTCCTCCCCTTCTCCTACCAGAGCACCAGTCATTGGATTTTGCTGTTATTGTTAAGTGCCGTCGAGTTGGTTCCGACCCATAGCGACCCTGTATAGGGTTTCCAAGGAGCAGCTGGTGAGCTTGAACCACCAACTTTGCAGTTCAAATGACTTTGCAGTCTGACGCATTAGCCCACAGCGCCACACCAGTATCAGGGTCCGCCTCATTCCACGGTGACTGCACCTAACGGCATTCCATCTGCAAAGACCCTGTTTCTAAACAAGGTCACCTTCACAGACACCGGAGACTACAGAGGACACAGTTCCACCACCACCCCCCGGCACCCCCAAAGCCTTGGCAGGTCCAGACCTGACACATGACTCTCCCCCAGCGCCTCCATCCCCAGCCAGAGCAGCAGCATCGTGCAAATGTTCGGACGGTCCAGCCCCCTCCCACCCCTTCCTGGTTGTCACCATGCTGAGGGATTGAAACCCCCACCACCTTCTCCCCTCTCCACACCATTGCCTTGGTCAGGATGGTGTCATTCTTACTGGCCACAGCTGCCCCTCACCACCCTGATGCCTCACTGCCCGCCAGCCCCTCACTGCCTTTTCCTCTCAGGAGCCCCTGGATCTTTCTGGAACACGTCTTTGCTCTTGGTGATTCTGAACACTCCATTCTCCCTTTGTGAGCACCCCTCCCCTCTCCCCACCAAGCTTGGGTCTGGTGGGTGCTCCTCCATCCACCTGCAGACCCCCAGTGACCTTGTCTTTCTGCCGCCCCTCCAGCCTCGGGCAGCTGTCTCCACCCCATCTCCTCTTGTGCATTCCGATCAGTCCCTGGCTGACAGGGGCAGGTGACATCATGTGGTCGCCCCACCCGGGATGACAGCCGGAGCGAGGGAGGGGCTATTCTGGGACCAGGCAGGGGGCAGCCTAGAGGGAAGTTTGGGGGGGGTGCTGGGTAGATGGCACGGGCACATGGGGGAGCATTCCGGCACCTCAAGCTGTCTGTGCTCTGGGGATGGGGAGGAGGAATGGGCTGCGTGGGAGAGGGAAGGGGAACATACAACAGCAATAATACCCCCCCCATGTTGGTCACAGGAAATTTTTTCCCAGTCCCCCAAGGTATGCAGACTCCTTGGGGAGGACACAGAACCTCTGGCCTGCACCCGTGGGGGGATGTGATGTGGTGGCCTACTTAGGTCTGGGCCTTCATCCTCTGTGAGGGTGGGGGAGTGCAGAGGACCCCAGACAGGTCCAGACACCGGCTGAGGTGATGGAGGAGGAAGTACTTAGGACCACAGGCATTTCCTTGGGGCAGGGGACCAGGAGGAGGGGCCTGGCTGCTCTATAGGACAGATCCAAGTCAGGGTACTCTGAGCTGCAGAGAGCCTGTCTAGGCAGAGGAGGCTCAGGCCAGGGGACAACAGGGGGCAGGGTTCTAGGATAAGAGAGCTAATTCACTGATGAGAGAAAACGGGTCTGGAAGGACTGGGCCCCCCAGCTCCCAGGTCAGAGATAGTTCAGAGATCTTAAATGACATTGGGTGTCAGATGCACGTGGAAAGAAAACTCATGTACTGTACAATGAAAAGTGAAGCCTTGGACATATATCTGTTGATGCCTTATAGTTCCATGTGGGGAAGTCCCCAGGTCTAGGCACAACGAATTTGTGCTCCACTGTTAAACCACCCAGTGACACTTTAGAAGAAAGAGCTGACGTTCTGCTTCTGTAAAAGACGTAACAGCCAAGCAAACGCAACGTAGCAGTTCTACTGTGTCACACAGAGGTCAGAACCAACTAGAAGGCAACTGGTTTGGGTTTGTTTGTTTTTTTTTAATGTTTTATTGTGAATTATGTGATAGTTTACATGGAAGAATATTAGTTTTACATTCATTCTATCATATATCGTTTCATTGCCATGGTTACA